CGAGTCCCAGCTTCGGCAGGCTCCTTAGCTCCTGCTCCCACGGTCACCGTGTGTTAATCCAAGCTGGGCCTGCTGACTTCATCTCTAGGCCTCTTCTCATGAGACCGCCCTTCCTGGCATCCAGCCTCCCTTATGGCTCCTTTCCATCATATAAAGTCCCTGGCTACCTCTTCAGCTGCACCCAGAACTACACCTTTATATGGTACTTCATGCCTGATGAACTAGACACTTCGCTGTTCTCTGGACGTGGCCCTCGCTTAGTTGACTCCTGTCCTTTGATGGAACTGTTTCTTCTACCCAGAAGCTGCCAATCAAATATACCTTCCCTCCCACCAAATCGCCCTGAGCCTATCGAAGGCCTACTAATTCTTCATGGTCTTCTCAAATGAAGCCTCTTCATCAATTCTCTAGCCTCTGTCCTGTGGTTCTCTGGGTGAACCTCCCATGAACCTCTTGTGAGTGCAGCATCCTTTGTCTTAACTTCCAGCACCTTTCACACTGCTGGGCTCAGGGGTTGATTACTAGACATTTGAAGATTTGAACTACAGTTCAGTTACTTCATTTCATGTACTTAAAGGAAAGAGGCGAGAGTGAATCTGTTCATCATACTTAAACTCAAGAACTTTCAACAGAGAAGTTGGTCCAATAGAGAGAAGCTCCTGTATTTTTTGGCCCCATTCATAAAGGAAAATTATTTTCCACTTCTTTAGGGAGCTTCTGCCCCAAAACTTTCTCTTCTCCCATTGTTCAAACATTTCTGACTCTTAGCAGAGAGATTTCAGAAAAATAGGTTGATACTGTATCTTGGTCAAATGGGGGCATACAGTATTATCCAACTTTTGTTCAATGTATAGTAATGAACAGCTTTAGGGCTCACGTTGTGAATTGTAGTTGCAGTAGTCAGGACAGATGGTGTAAATCATATCTCAAAGCACAGGGACTGGCAACAAATAACTTGCTGTAGTAATGTGCCGTATGATAATAAGGCAGAATAGAGTACACTGCACAGGACACAGAGACCTAATGCTTCCTGTTTATTGCATGTATACGATTTCCAAAAATATTTAATCCATGAAATGTTCCAAGGAATAGGTAGAACTTCGTGTTAAAAGTAGCAACCCTTTTAAGAAAAGAAACAGTATTTCAGGCCTAAGAAGGAGTGTTAAGTATTTTATGAGGTAACCAGAGGAATTGTTCATGATTTCACAGCCTCCCAGTCATAAGTTAGGAGGAGAATCGGGCGCCCCTCAAATCCTGAGTAGACTGAGTCTGTGTAGTGTTTTAAGGCCCGCCTGGTTTCCCATCCCCGCACTTACTTGCTTTGTGTTCTTTGTTGGGCAATTTCCTTAGTCTCAGTATCTTTATCTGTAAAAGGGGGATTAAAAAACTACCCTTCAGAATGGTTGTGAGGATTAGATGAGACTGAGTGTATAAATCCCTTCCCAGTGTCTCACCCAAGTTCCTGCTAAAAAAGCACTGGTCTTCCTCCCGTTCTCTTCCCTACACCCCCGAGGGGAGAAATAGCTGTTTATAGTGTCTTGCTCACCACAGAGTAAGTGAGCAAAAACCATTATTTATTTCATTTTTTGACTCTTTTATGTAAATGACCTCTTATAGGGAATTTGCTAGTTTCTTTCTAAGTTTTAAAACACTAATTAAATTTGCTTAAAATTATTAAAGGAATATGAAGTGCCCTAATTTTAAACTTTGATTTTATTTACATTTTAATAAGACCGAATACTGTCTACCTTTTGCAGTAGGAACCCCATAAATATGAATCATGGGCATACTCTGTATGAAAAACTTCGAAATATGATCTACTTCTTGATGCCTTTTTAAGGGAAAATTGATTTAACAAAATGATTCCTAGGACAAAATTGTCAATGTAAATATACGTTGCATTTTTTTGTGTGAATAGTTTGGATGTATAGTATTTTTAGTGGGCTAAACTGAAAGACTTATTGAGAGAGAATGCTTTAAAACTCAAAATGATGATGGCTAACATTTTCCATGATCTTGGTAGTTACTAATATTTAAATAAAGAATAAAAATTTTAAAAAGTATCTATTTGGATATTTATACTTTTTTGTTCTCCTGAAATGACTAAGGGCTGAATAAATACACATTTTAGGGTAGGAGGATATAAAAAAATTGTGAAGATTTGATTAGGTGGAAAAGGAGGAATAATAGTTCTCATACCCAGGATTAGCTGAAGTCATTCAGGAAATTAGTAGGGTTTGTAAATGTTACAGCCAGATTCTCTGTCCATCATTGCCAGTGTCACATTTTCTTTTCTCCCCAATCTTAACTCACATGATGCCTCACATCTCAGTAATCTTGCCAGAGCATCCCAGGAGTGCTGAACTGGTCATGGCATCCTATCTTGCCATGACACAGCAGCAATAGGTACCTGAGAGACTGTCTTGGTGGTACACGAGACTAAAAATTACTCTTAGTCTAGGTGAAAGGAGTGGGAAATGCCCTTTAAATTAAAAAGAAGTAACAGGTGAAAATGCTTTTAACATATAAAGTGCAATTAAAGGATAAGTATTCAGACTATGTAAAGAGCTCTTACAAATCAATAAGAAAAAAGAAGCATGGAACACAGACAGGAAATTCACCAAAGAAGGGCAGTAATCTCACCAGCCTTTGGACACTCATAAACACAAAATCAGATTGCCAAAACTGCAAAGTTTGATAATAGGTAGTGTTGATCAAGGTGTAGAAAATTGATTCTCTTCTGACCAGAGGGTAAATTGATTTAACCATTTTAAAATCTATTTGTTAAAATAAGAAATATGTATATCTGAGTGCCCAGCTAATATTGAATTTCTCCTTATCTAGCCTAAAAGACCTTTTGTACTTATGCACAATGAGGCATACACGTGTATTCTCACTGCAGCATCATTTATAATCATGAGATTGAAAATAAACTAAGGGCCCATCAAGACAGAAGTGCCTCAGTAAACTATGATGTATGCAGAACATGTGGTACTATTCAATAGAGGTTAAAATAATGAGCTAGAACTGTGTGTATTGACAAAAAAAAGAATGTCCGTGACATACTAAGAAAAAATTTGTAAAACAGTCCTATGAAGTGTCACCATTTACTTAAAAACAGAGAAAGAAAGGATGAGGTAATACTGTAGATTTTCTATAATAGTAGCTTTTCAACTCTTTTGGAAATGACCCTCAATAAGAAACACATTTTATATCTTGATTGTGTGGATTCTTACTACATCAATGCACTCTGACATTTTTCTGTCCTGTTCCATTTCGTTCCATCCCATTTTTCAAAATGCTGTTTGTGACCCATTAAGCTGAGTTCAGGACTCAGCTGCAATTTGAAAAATACTGCTCTGAAGAATACACTTGTGTATGTAAAAGGATAGAAAAGTGACCGGAAAGCAACACATCCAGCTGATATCAGGGGTTACTGCCGGGGAGGAGGCTGATGGGCCGTGGTTCCAGGGAGACTTCAGCCTCTTCTGCAATACTTAGGCTGTTTTTATGTTTGTTTGCTGGTTTTACAAGGGGCATGTATAAATAAACATTTTTTAATTTGCTTTTTAGAAAACCATCAAAACTATTTTCAAAGTCAAGAATTTACTGGGATTGAGAGAACGTGGTCAAAGGGTCTTAAGAGCAATTTTTAAGTTACATTGCATAATTGAGTGATTTAGAAGGCAGGCATCTAGCTAACGATCTCTGTTTTTGTATCTAGGGCCACAGATGAACACATTCTTGTGGCAAGGTAGAGTCAAACCCATGTGACATCCCACTCAAAATGTCATCACAAATCTAGGAACGCTCTGCCATGCTATGAGAGTTTAACTCGTTCCCTTTAAATGTGAAGTCCATGTACCAAAAACACAAACTAGTCAACGTAAAGTGATCAAGACCAAGCCCTTTAGTTTCAGAAAATGCAAAGTGAATGTTCCTGTTGCCGCATCCCTTTGGCCACATTACACAGTCTCTAGTTGTAGGTATGGGTCTAGATGGACAGTTACATTTTAAGAATTATTTCTGCAAGAGTCATCACTGTAGAAAATATGACATGTGTACACTCAGCCACCTGTACAGCCTGGAGCCATCTGTTTTCTGTTATAGATCTATCTTAATTTGTTTGATTTACCTTCATATTTTTACCCTAACAGTAATTTATTAAACCTTTATTAAGGGTCAAGTAATTGATGTTTAAAAGGAGTTAGACACAGTTCCTGGGGAAGATAAATCCTTTACATTTCAAACATTTAAACAAAGTATTAAATGCATATGAATGAGAACTAAATTATTTCTTGTGTGAATTTCTCAATTAACTCAGAAAGATATCCATAAGGAAAATAATATTTGACACCAACCTAGCCTAAAACTGTAAAAGTGGTGTGGCTCTATGATGAAAATTTGAGATAAATTATAAATGTGTCCTGTTTAGACCTAGACAGAAATCCAGGTGAAAATTATAATTTGTAATAATGAAGGATTTGAAAATTACTTAATTCTAAGTAGCTTTTATTAGAATTTTTGGTTTGGGTTTGTTTTTTTTTCCTGTAAGATTGTCTATTCAGTGTTTGCATTTAGTAGTTTTGATCAATTAGTTTTAAAATATGTTAAATTAATTTAAAAGCATGATAGTCAACTGCACCCTATGGAAAGCCCAGCTTTTCAATGGCCACTGTATCCAAAGCACCACTTCCTCCTGGTGGCAGCCTGATATAATTGCAGGCAAAAATTCCAAGAAGGGAAATAGTCTTTCAGATATTTTGAGAGATAACATCATTATGTTACTGAGAAATCTGAGAAGTAAAGGGAAGGAATTGTGCATCCAATATTATAAAGTATCAAAGTGCTACAGGGTCCCTGTATATTATTTCATTGGTATAATGAGAGTTTTTGCTTAATTTTTTATTTTTTTCAGAATTTTACCCCACTTTCCACTATTATCACTTCTGAGAGAGAAATCCAGGATCTTGACTAACTGGAAAATTTATCATCCACAGCATCTGCAGGGATTGCTGTGTCCCAGAGGAAAGTTCGCCAGATCAGTGATCCTATCCAGCAGATCTTAATTCAGCTGCACAAAATCATCTACATCACACAGGTCAGTGCTAGCTTTTTAATTCCTTCTCATCTGAAATACAAGTTTGTTGCTCATATTGCCAAAGAACTTCTTCGTGGAACTCTTAGTTAGAGTGAATGCTTGTTGTTATCCTCCCAACTAAACGTATTTGGGGATACTTTGGCTTAACGAAAGAACTTAGGAGGGAGGAGAGTAAAAAAAGCAAATATGTCAGATTGTCCCTATGACGCCAAACCTACTCCGTCACTATTAATCCCCAACCTAAACCAGCCTTCGACACAAACGGGCCTTCAGTGCAGGGATGAAAGTGCGGCCGGGGCTGGGCTTTCGAAGCAGCTTCACTACAGCAAAGCACTGGGAGAGCAGTGTACGCTCACACATCCTGGGGAGGCTGGGTTAAAACCAGGACCTCTCGGAAAAACGAAACCTAAGAGCACACAAAACCCAGAATTGTCAAAACTTCCTTTTTGCAAATCTCAGTGACTCTTGGGCACTTGGGGAAGCAGCCGCTGCTGAAAAATGGCTATTAATCGTTTATAGAAATGTGCCTAACTTGAATGTTCATCTACCAAAGCTATGTCCTGTTAATAAGCAAAGAACGTTTTGTAGATAAAGAAGTATAAACATTTGCACAAGAAAGTAACTATCATTTTGAAATTGAAGATTGTGTGTCTCACGCAGTTCATTCATTTGACATCATTGTTTGGTGCCTACTATGTGCCAGCCAATATTCTAGGCATTTGAGACACATCAATGAGCAAAACATATAAACAGTCCCTCACCCAAAGATTCAGAGAATCTTACCCAGTGTGGGGATTCTGTCCGTTGCCAACTGTGGCAATCTCAATTATATGTTCAGGTACTAGAGAGAAATACCGCCAGATCAGTGGACCAGCTGGGCTCATTATGAGTCAAACGTGGGCTAATGTATCTGCGCCACCTCTAGAAAAGCAAACAAAACAAACAGAAAACCACTCTGATTGGTGGTGTACCACAGTGACATTATAAAACTTTAAGAGTAAGTGTCAGTTGACAACCAGTGTCCAGTGTCTCATGTCCCTGAAAGCCTGTGTATTTCCTCCTCCCCAGTGAACAGTCACTCTAGGAAATGACTGCAGGCCTTCTTTACAGAAGGCTTGGGGGTAAACTTAGAGTGTGTCCCTCATAACAGCGTTTCAAGGCTCTTCCTCAAGAGTCCCGAGCTTTCCACCAGCCAAACAGCTTTGAATCTTTGAACTGACTTCAGCCTGGAAACTGTGTGAGAGGCTGTGCTTCTCTACTGTGGCAACAGCAAGTCAACTCCTGTTTTTGTCTACCAGACCTAGAGCTTCTTGTCTATTAAACAGATTCAGGAATGCCGTGGTAGGCTGAGGACCTACAGTTCACCCTTGAACAATGCAGGAGTTAAGGGCCCTGACCCCCCGTGCAGTCAAACACTCATGTAAAACTTTTGACAACCTCACCTCCCCCCCAAAACAAGCAAACAAACAAACAAAAAAACTTAACTCCAGTCCCTTGGTATCCACAGGGACTGGTTGCTCAAGTCCCGTATGTGAAATGGCGCAGAACAGTGCATGCCATGTGGCCTCTGCATCCGTGGACTCCCAGCCGTGGATGGGAAATACCCCACCACAGCCCTGTAGTCTTCATCCTGCCCAACGGCCAAGTGCATCAGCCACCTGGGCATCCAGGACACTCGCTTCTTTTGGCCCTTCATCGATGTGATCATTGTGATGCCGCCACATGCCACGGCATCCTATGTATGCCCTATTGGCAAAACAATCCCTCAGCACTGGGCTCAGTACCAAGGGCACAATCCCTTCAATTCCCAAATCCCATCCATATGGGTCTTTCTCCTGGGACATTCATGGAACCAAGTCTGTATCAGTGAGGGCCCGGTCAGGAGACAGACACCACGCGGTAATTTCAACAGGGAAGGTTTAATGTGAAGAATTGTTCATGAAACCGCATATTAGCTACAAAGGAGGGGGAGAGACACGAGAGAATACAGGGAGAGCAGACAGGGAAATCCACTTACAGGGCTAAGGCACAGCACCCGAGCAAGGAACAAAACAGGAGAGGACGCCCCCACCCCGGGCTGAGGTTCGGCCCTCACTGGAAAGCTCGGACAGATGTGCTGACATGCTGTGCTGGAGAAGCTAGCAGGGCAGCCTCCCTCTGAGGGGTCGTGCTGTGGCACGTGTTGGCAATCAGCACGTGAGGGTGCTGTGATGGGAAGTGCCCTTTCTAGGAGCAGCTGACCACAGGCAGGGGTGGCTCCATGGAACTCTCTGGGAAGCCACCTGCAGGACTGGTGCCACTGAGTCTGGCTGGCAGTGAGCACCGCCAGGGGGCCCCATTGCTGTTAGGTTCTGCAGGACTCAGGAAAGGCAGGGCCTTGCCTGGAGCCAGAGACAAGCTCCATCCTAAGCCGGTGTGCCTTCACCGCCCTCTACTGATAGAGCTGAACCTCCGGCCAACTGGCAGAGGAGAAGTAGTCCAGGATCACAAGCAGAGCAGTGAAGGATGGGTTTGGTGTTAAGAGGCAATCAGTTGACAACGGGCATACTTTGCCTGGGGGGCTAAGCAAGAGAGCCCCTTCTTCGGGACCCACCCACCTCTGAGCTCTCTCTCACTGCTTCCTTTTTTACTTCTCCCTCTAGCCTGGGGAGATGCCTTGCTTTTACCTGTCACGTGTTCCCCCCCCCCCAAACCTAGTATTCTTTTCAGTCACTCTGAGGGCTACCCTCTTGAGACTCAAGAGTCTAAAATTGATGACATTTTCTCCATTTTCTGCTGTCAACCTTTCTCTTAGGCAATCACACGAAATTGTCTACCTGGTTAAATGAAAGGGTGCCAGGGCCACAAGGAATATAAGGGTTGGGGCAGAAACTTGGCTCATAAATCAAAATACAATCTGATGTATCTCTATTCAGTGAAGTTATGATATTCAAAATCGCATTTATACTGATATGGAAATATGGGGAAAGCATTCTTCACTTTAGTGTATGGAAATAACTTTAAATAGCTTTACTCAATGATTAACTACTAAATTGAGAGAAAATACCCTTTGACGTTTAAATATAGTGTTTATAAGCCTGTTTTGCTCAGTTTGTATAATAAAAACACCTTTTAATGGAGACACTCCATTTCTTTATTGGATTTCAAAGTATTTTAAAGCAAGAATGAAACTGTTGTGAATGGCTTACTATTGTATTATGAGCTTATGTTGCCAGCATAACAAATGATTTCACAATTTCAGGCAAGATGGAATTCCGTGCCCCAAGCTCACATATAACCATTGTGGTTTTTAAAATATATTCCAGAATACTTTAAAGTTTATGAGATTGCACATGACAAGGAATGATTCCTCTTTGGGAAACTAAATTACTGAGCGAACCAAAGTCAGTGCCTTTCAAATGCAGGAGATAAATTCAAGTCTAAACGTTACACTAGTGTATTTGCTGTAGGTTACAGACCAAGATCAGTTTGCTCTCCCTCTGTTAATGGCAAAGGAAAACCTCTAAAAGTAAAACTGAAATGATGAAACAAACACAGAAATCAGCAAAAACCCTTTCTTGTTCACATATTTATTTACTAGTCAAACTCTCACAGACCGATGCTGTGGGAGCTGACCTGAAGCTCAGGGCCAGACCCCTCCTGACAACCAACAGATGACCTTATAGGGGAAACTGCTTACTTTTGGCTGGTGGTGGCCTTTCTCTATCCGGTTTCCATGGAGACAGATCTGTGGAAATAATCTTAAAGCAAGTATTTTAAAAGGCAGGATGTTAAAATCCTTACCCTGCCTTCACTGATTTGACATCTGTTTTCATCAAAACTAAGTTGGTAATCTTAAGACCAGAAAGCTGAGAATGAAATCAATGCAGCCATTTCCATTGCTGGAAACCAAAATCGATCTCTGGGTGTATCAGGTGACCAAAGTACTTACGTTACCTTTCTGCACGAGTCTTTATGTGTTACTGCTGAGGTAAGACCTGCGTAGCCGACTTCAGCTTTTGAATGACCGTATTTGCCGGCGTATAAGATGACTGGGCGTATAAGACGACCCCCTAACATTTCCACTCAAAATACAGAGTTTGTTATATACTCGCCGTATAAGACTACCCCCTCTTCCGCACACCTTCCACACACCAAATAAAAGGTAAAACAATATCAGATTTGATTTCAACATTTTAATTTATATTCAAATGCTTATGACTTGCAGGAAAACTGTCACAAGGCTGTATGTAATCAAACATATACATAAAACAGTGCAAGTTTATTACCGGTAAACATACCGGTAATTCACTAAAGAAAACACACTCTATAGACTGGTACCGTAGATTTTGCGAGTGTGGTAAAATCGCATAACAGCAAAATCGCATAACAGCCAAGCATACACCCAGCAGCGCTGCTGATGCCTGAACGGTATGTGGAATGAAGTGGGCGGGCATCGGGAGGCCACTATGGCACGGGGCAAGCACTATGGGCAGTCTATCTGAAGTGTACCTGGCGTATAAGACGACCCCCCACTTGGAGGCATATTTTTCAGGGCCAAAAAATCGTCTTATACGCCGGCAAATACGGTAACTCTCTACTTAGGATTTGATTGCTTCATTGAATAAATGCTTTGAAAATCAGCATAGAGCAAGTTTCAAAAATTGAACAGCTGTCTCCTAGAGAACAGACAGGCCGTTTGGTGGGAGCTCCTTCAGATGGCCATCTTCACAACCACAATTGTTGCCAACAGAACAAAAATACGTGGTTGGGAATAGCAATCCTCAGATGAAAGTTATACTACTGACTGTCATCGGTGAAACACACCGTGTTTTGTTTTTTTCAGCAGTGGTGATGGATGAAAACAGAGCCATCCATACCCTCTTATCTGAACCTCCTGGTCCCTAATGACAAAGGCGACAGATTAAATAGAATTTAGGGTAAAGCTGTGTTTCTCAAGTAAACTCATGTTTTCAGGGTTTGTAAAATCTAAGAGAAGTTGCACATCTTGTATATTCATTTCGATGATACTGTGTGAAAATTTTACTTTGGCATTTAGGGAAATCTCTTAAGCAGTAATATATCAAAATAGGTTTTTTATTATAGAAAAGATTTGAAGTCACTGTCAGATGGAGCCCTGTGGTCTACCAATGTATTCTTGGAGAGATCAGAGAATGTCGTTCTTTAGAAAGAATCCATATATTATGCAAGTTGGAGACAACCTACTACAAAACATATGTATTGGATTTCATTTTTTCCTTTTGTTGCTTTGTTTGGTAAACAGTAAAAAAACAACAAAAATCAAGCTTTTAGATATGTGACGTTGAGGGAATCATTATCTTTTCTAGAAGCAGTTTCTTCATCCGTAAAGTTTAGGCAGTTTATGGGACCACTGTGATCAAGGAAGTAAAGTATGTGAAATGTTTATAAACTGTGAAGGGCTGTACTACAATAATGCTAGTGGTGCTGGTATTTATCTCAGAATAATAGTTGTGCTAAAAGACTCACAAACTCAGAAAGTGTTCTTGTATGTTGCATAATGTCTGTAAGTCCTGATTTCCTCACCTATAAAACAGTGCCAGCTTTATGGGTTTGTCGTGGGGACAAGAGTGACATACTGCACATAGAGGAGTAATCATAGTGTCAGGACCATACAAATCATAGGTGTTAATATTGTGTCCTTAGTATTATAGTTTTTATATATATATATACATATTTTATACTTGACATCATCTGCAGTTAAACTATGCATGAGTCATCATTCTGTGCAAAATTTAAGATCCTTCCCTGAAAACTTAAAAAATGGGGTGCTGTCCATAGAGATACTTGTAGTTATTCCAGTAAGATGCAATAGCTTTCTAATATTGTCCTGTGTATGACTCTTAAGTTGACAGAATGTTAACTGACTCCAGAAAGTTTTTATGAGGGTGAATTCAAGCCATCAGGAGTCGTAAACAAATTCTAAGTTAGCTAGAGTCCCGAGTTAAATGAATACCAACGCTTTTACGTGTGTCTGAACTAGTAATCTGATACTGATAAGCTGCCAGGACTGGGTAAGTTGTCTCTGAAGGAATCTGTGGAAGTTTGCCATAGCGGATGACTAGGTATATGAGACTTCTTTTATGTCCCAATAACATTGCTGCTTTTCTCTTTGACGCTTGGAATCCTGTGGGGCAGCACTGGACGGTCCTGGGCCAACACTGCCCTCTGGTGTTTAATTTAGGGAAGTGGCATCTTCTGATGAGTAAATTGTAAGGAATTACCAACCCCCCCAAGTTATCTCCAGGTACTTTTGCCATGCCTTCTCCACTCCGACCCATCCACTTGCTAGGAAAGCATGTACATGCCCCTCCCTGCCATTGTCTGGTTCTACTCTGAGTTAAATTCATCCCACTTTTGCTAGTCTCTCTCACACACATATCATTTATATTCATTTTCCTTCTCATCTGTCTTCCACTATTTGCACATTAATGCTGAGAATTCTCTCTCTGCCTCTCATTTCTTGATTTCCTCTTTTCATTCCATGTGAAAGGACAACATTAATTATGATTATTTGCTGGGGATAGGAGGCAGTAAACACGTCTGGATCAAGGTAAAAGGAAGCCATCATATTGACATAAAAAGAAAGCAGTAGAAGTTCAGTGCTGTCAGCCTACAAAACCTTTCAAAGTGCACTGAGGGGCAGCAGAATCTTTAGACATACTTCTTTAATTAAATCTGCTTCGGCTCAAGCAAAGTCAACTAGGATTGAAGATTCATTTTTAAAACCTTTTTCAATTGCATTGTTAATATTTTATATCATTACAGTGCTTCCTAATGGGTCCTGTATTCTATTGTGTTGGGCTGATGAACAGTTTTTCTTTGCCATAAAATCAGCAGTTGTGTGAGCCCCCATAGACCCTGTTCATTGCCCTCCCATTGCCTTTTATCTAGCTCCCCGTTTCATGAAACGTGAATAATACTGGGGGTGCCAAAAAAATGTATACAAGTGGACACTTTTGCCAACATTGCTCAAGCAGTAGTTCGCTGTCATCAAAAGTGTCTGGATGCTGATGGTAACCACTTTGAACACCTCTTATAATTGCAGAAGTCAAAAATGACCTGTATTCATCTTTTGTTATTGGTACATATTGAGTATTAAACTTTTAATACAGTTTTTTCCTTTCTTAAAATGTGTATACATGTTTTCGGCACCCTCTGTAGATGCTCCTTGTATCGGTCAGGATATGGTAAGTTATGTTGTGCTAACAGATGCACCCTGAAGTCTTTTGGCTTGACGCAGTAGAGGTTTATGTCTCACTCAGCTCAAGTTGGACAGGTCAGGTGGCTGCCCTCCATCTGTGGCTCTGCCACCTGGAATCGGTGGGCTCCAAGCTCCTGGCCCTGGGGGAGGGCAGGGATGAAGAGGCACACTGACTTTGAATGGCCTCATTCTCGGAGTGACACACGTCATCTTCATTGGCCACAAGTAGGCACGTGGCACCGAACCAAAACTGTAAGAGGATAGAACAATGGAGTGCAGTGGGGTAGCAATTGTTATTGCCACGTTTCTCTTTCTTTTCATCTGAGCTTTGAACTATATTCTTGTTTTTGTTTTTGTTTTAAACCTTGAGAGTGCCTACTACTACATTTTCCTTCCCAATTAGCCATTTTTTTTCCCCCTTACTAGTTCCTTTTTCTCTCCTTCCAGGTCCTCTCCATAATTTAAACAAACCAAATATCATTTTGACCCTATTTCTTTTCTCTGTTATCCTTCTCCCAAACTTCACTTTATCCTTCTGTGACTTTTAGGACTTTTGATTTCCTTGTATAAATTCAGTCTGCAAAGTACTAACTACAAAATCAGTTTTTTGAAATCCCCATCTTCATTTAATCACCATATTTTCTAAGATTCTGCTGTGACTTCCTACTGCTTATGTATTAAATCTAACTCATCCTGGCCTGGACCTAACATATACATAATTAATTCTCTCCTTCTTCCTCATAAGCTTAGTCCCTACAAACTGATTTCTCTCTAGCTGTATATTCAGGCGCACTCATAGGTGGGCACCTGACTAAGTACTAATGCGGATATGTGCTTCCTGGTCCGGGGTATCAGATCCTTCAGGATGAGGGCCATGGGTAGAGTGTTTCACAGTCTATTAGCTTGTGGGCATGACCCAAGCACCTAAACATCTGATAGAATGCAACCTTCCTGCCATCTGCTCTTTACAAAATTCAATTTATATGTGCAATTGATATATCATTTAGTTGTTCTATGAAAAATAATAGCCATAACATGAAAAAAAAATAACAAACAAACCCAAAACAGTAAAATAAAGTAAGCAGCCTTTCAAAAGACAGCAGAGTAATATATTTTTTCTGGATTTTAATGAAAAATTATAGCATCAAGTCATGCTATGTGGAGTACAATTTAAATTCTTATTTAGTTCCGTTGAGTGAATACTGTTACACTGACCCTCAGTAAATGCTTTCCAGGAGTCAGCTGTGCAGTGTGAACAATTTGCTTATAATGATTGTTTTCTCATTTTATGCAGCTTCCTCCAGCTTTGCACCACAATTTGAAAAGAAGGGTCATAGAGAGATTCAAGAAATCCCTCTTCAGCCTGCAGAGCAACCCTTGCAATTTGAAATCTGAAATTAAAAAGGTACGGTGTTCTGCGTGTAGGGATTCTTCTTTGGCTAACAAAAACACTTCGTCAGAGTTAAATTTCATACCTCCTTTGCTTTGTACTTGAAGCTGTATCCTCTGCTAACGGAAATTATCATTTGTCTTAGTCCATCCGGGCAGCTATAACAAAAATACCATAAACTGGGGAGATTATAAGCAACAGAAATTTATTGTGCACAGTTCTGGAAGCTGGAAGTCCAAGATCGGGGCATCGGCAGGGTGGGGTTGACGAGGACCCTCTTTCAGGTTGTAGACTGCTTACTTCGCATCGTGTCCTTCCGTGAGGAGCACGGGAGTTCTCGCGGGTCTGTGTTATAAAGGCACTTCTTAAAAGAGCACTTACAATGCTACTTCTTTATGACCTCAGCACCTCCCAAAGGTCTCACCTCCTAAAACCATCACCTTGGGGATTAGGTTTCAACAGATGAATTTGGGGTGGGGGGAGAGGGGGAGACACAAACATTCAGACCATAGCACTGCTTAAGACACTAAATCAAGGATATGTCTTTGCTTCTAATTTTCTCACCTTTGTTTCTGAAGCCATCATCCTTGGAAGACTAACAGAAAGTTCTTTCCACATTATTGTATGTTTTCCTAAGAATAAACGTTATTAAATACCATATATATATATATATATATATATATATAATTATATTTAATTATATATTTAAATATAAGAAATATATATATATTTCTTTTTTTAAGAGAAATGTATCCCAATCTTTTATTAGAATATTCTTCAACAAGCCCCTAAATTGAGCTTTGCCACTCTGAATAAGTCATTTAACCATCTGAGGCGATTCCACTTATGAGGGTGGAATGAACTATTTCTAAAGTTCTTTCCATCTTTGACATTCTTCCATCTCCTAGACTTCAGATACTAGTAAATATTTCTATTCCTACATAAAGAAACTAAATCACAAAAAGATCAAATTAACCAGACAGAGAGAAAATTGGTTATCTCTGTTTAACACAACGTGGTGACAGGAAATCTCTTTGTCCCAGTCAGTAGCCATTTTAATACAGGCCTTGGAGGTGGTCACAAGCTCCCCCTCTCCTGTCCCTGAAAGACCCAAGGCCCAAGCAATTTTGGCCCACCTGGGTAAAGATGCGTGGTTCCACTCCAATTTTATATAATTGTTTAAAGTTTCATCATATACTTGAACTTTGGCCCAGTCATGCTGCTTAATGACCTTTCTCTTTAAGGTTCTTTTTCCTTTAGTGTCTCCAATCTTAGGCATAAACGTGCTCATTATTCAGGCAATATAATGGGCTCTTTGATAAGAAATGCAAACTATGTTTTTGCTTTGTTGCCTAACATCAGTGATGTCTGCACATACACAAACAGGAGACGGAAAACATAAAAAACGAAAAGCCACAGCCACAGGTAAATAAAACATAAGCCTTACCTCATCAGAGATTAGAGAGCAAAATTCCTTTCATGGGTTGTGTTGGCAGATAAGGCCAAGAAACAAAGCTAGGGGAGATCAAAACAGAAGTGGAGAGGACCTCGGATATTTATTTTGTGGTATTTCTCTATCGTATCATGAATACCAATAAATACATTTTTAAAGGACTGAAGTGCAGTTCTCCCATGAAAAGATTACATGTTGCTAGGTTTTTATATTCCTATTAAAATGATATTCAGAGTAACCCAGCTTGTACACAAATTTGTTTTAATAGGAATCCTAGCTTTGTGAGATGACAGTGCCTGCTGCAAACTGTCTGATGCACAAAGGCGGCTGGGACACTTCCCCCACTCAGTAACTTTCCATCAGTGCCTGCTCTGAAAGCGAATCATTTCTCTTTTATTACTTAGGCTTTCGTTTTTGCATCCTTTGCTTGCTGTTTTTCTTTTCTCTCCTGACAGAAAAGAAATTTCCTTTTGTTAAATTGTACCCCATCCCCCCAGCCTTGTCTGCCTTCCTCTCTGTAGGGCTGGCATGTCTCATTAAAGCTCCCACCTTCCGTTCTTGGTCTGGGGAAGTAAACGCAGGGGTGGGTGGGGTGGTGCAGGGTGTACAGGGAGCATGGGTGAGGGACCCCAAAGGGGCATCGACTCCTTCTTATTTTCAACTTGGTTGAGAGGCAGATTCAATTCCGCTATGAAGAATGCTTTGGTCCTCTCTGATAGTATAAGCTTATGGTGGTTCATCATGGTATGTACCCTCCCAGCCTGGCGGGCAGGTCTCCCTTCCTAGAAGATAAAGGAATTTTCAGCCTGGGATACTAACATATTCTCTGTCTTTCACCACTGAACTGAGAAGCCTGCTCCTCTATAGAAACCTTCCTTCATGTTTCCTGTCCAGAATTCATCTTCCTTTCCCCTATGCTTCAATCACTTTTTCGTGCATATTGTTGTGTTTTAAATAGATTTTTATCTGCCTTACATTTCTGTTTTCCCCAAAGGCAGTGAGTGTGTCTTACTCATCCTTGATCCCCAGTGTCTTGCACAGTGCATGGCACATGGTAGGTGCTTAATGTATAATATGTTCTATGTTGGTTCTATTCTTTGTTGCTATATTGACATATTCATATAATTCTGGATGAAAATAGAAAGAAACCTCCCTGCCACCATCTAAACCTAAATGAGAAGAGCCTGTGACCTCTGATTTTTTCCTTTCTGGTATAATCTCTTGTTAGCGACAATTTTTTGTTCAGAAATGGACTTTTCATCCCCTGTACAATCATAGAGGAGTGAACAATTAGCCTTTGAGTGTCACAGTCACCCCACATTGAGGCCATGGAGCAGTAAATGGTGATGGCACATAAAATGCATTTGATTTCCACCTTCCCCTCTGAAACATCCCCTGAAATCTAGGGACTCAGTGTTTGAAGGAGTCATTATGGGATCACTGTGGCTACTTATTAATGGCCTAAGACCCAGCAGGCCACAGAAATGAGTAAAAAAAAAAAAAAAGGAAAAGCCCTTTTCTAAGAAATTAAGCTCCTTATTTATAACTCACCTAAGATGATCCTCAGCTTGGTCTGCTCAACTTTGGCTAGGATTTCAGGGAGCAATAAAGCACCTGAGTAATTGTATAGGTGTCTTTGGGAGCTAGGACTTCCAGTGTGGGAGAAAGGAGAAACAGAAACAAGATAGAAATATTAATTCAAATTAGAATTGGAAGTATCAGTATGAAGGAGTGTACATTAATAATAAATCTTTTCAAAAATATACATATTTCTAATATTCTCACTAGCATTGTCTAGAAACTAAGCAGGCAGCAATGAGCTCCCTTAGCTCCTATGGCTTCTGGGAATCATAGCTGACTGCCGCTATAGAACAGGAACTGAGTGAGCTAAGACTGGAAGTCTTGACATAACTGATCGCATAGCAAGGATTCCACCAAGGACTACTGAGAGTGTCTCCAAAGGACATGGGAGCCAACTTGAAAAGGCTCCCACTGGTTATATATTGGTTAATTAGAGCCTCGATAAGAATAATAACCACGGGCCAGCCGAGTGGCACGTTGGTTAAGAGTTGGCTTGGGATGCCAGCTCT